ATGTGTGAATTTAAAGTGTAGGTTATTTAAGAAGTAGAATTATTCTTTTGCTTTTCTTGTATTTTGAAATGAGTCCCTCTTATCTTGTCATCCAAGCAATAATATATAGACAACTTTTTTAAATAATTTTTTTTTACAATTTTTATGTATTATTAAATAATTAAAAATACTCAATTTCATAATTTTAAATCAATAAAAATATAAATTATTTAAATAATAAGTAAAATTGTATAAAAAAATAATACTTAAAGTTATATTCTTAAATCATTTTCACTTATCACCCACGAAAAGGTCATGTAATGGCCAGCTCAGACTTGTAATCCCACCCTAATGAAGGCACCGTTAGTTTTTGACAAAACAATGATGTCATCCGTTAAAAAAAAAAAGGGGCTCATTTGCCATTATCAAAGAGTTCAAGGGGGTTGTATGCTGCTAAAATTGTTTGAGGGGCTAATCTACCACCAATCAACAACTTGAAGGGTTGTTTAATTTTGCACGATTTACCCTTTTGCTTTCAAATAAAAGAGTTTCGCTGTGAAATATCATTGTTCACATTATTTATTCATTTATATTTATTTATTTCCATCTTCGTTTGAGACTATTTTAAGTTGTCAAAGGAGATGTTATACGAGGAAAGGGAAATGATTTTTGTATAATTTTTTTATTTTATTTTTTATATAATTTAATATATTATTTAAATAATTAATTTTTTTAATTCATATAAAATTTATAATATTAAATACATTTATTTATTTAATGATACATAAAAATTGTATCAAAAAATTATATAAAAAAATTATTTCTATAACATCACCTTACTCGAAAATTGATAATCTATTATAAGAACTATTTCTAACCAACAATCTTTCAAGTTGTATTAATTCAGTGGATGGGATTACCATATATGTCGGTTTGGCAGAAAATACGCAACTCCCTAATCATACGTAAGTTACTTTACACTTCATTCTCATGTGGGATAATGGACATCAATCCAGACCAACAATTTTATACTCACAACTTTTTATTTCTTATTAAGAAAAAATATTCATTCATCAATGGAATACAAGGATGTCCTACCCATTTTATACTCACAAATTGATATAAAAAAACAAGCAACATTACTTTTTAAGTCATGTGCAGTTAGGTTGGTTCACTAACATTTTATTTTATAATAATAATGAAGTCTTTTCTCTAAATAGAGTAAAAGATTTTAAATTCAAATTTATAAGTATATAGGTGAGGTGAATATTTGAATGGAAAAAAATGATCTTTTATCATATAATTTAAAATTAATTAATAATAATAGTAACAATAATAAAGTTTCATAGTATCTACAAAACATTAATAAGTAAATATATGCTCTCTCAATTTAATTTTAGTAGATTTAGTTTTTTTATCTAATAAAATAAAAAATACAATAATTTATTTATAAAATTTTATATTTATCCCTAATTAAGTACTACTTAAATGAGACTTCTTATTAATATATATTGTAATTTTTTTTTAAATAAGGGTACAATTAATAAGAATGAATGTATTAAATAATATTTTTTAAAAAAATAAACAATTAAAATTTAATGCCCTAATATAAAAGCTAAATCTATTAAAATTGAACCGAAGAAGCATTAATTTATCCATTTCATCAATTAAAAAATTAAAATTACTTTAAAATATAATAATATATTGTGAAAGTAAGTAATGCCCTTCAACTCAAATAAGGTCATTTTAAAAAATACTCTAACATTTTTTTTTAATATTTAATGATAAGTTATATAAGAAAATATAATTTTTTTTTATTTTTAAATCTCTATTTATTTAATTTAAAATTTAAAATTGAGATCTCTTATATTCTAAAAAGATAATTTTATCTTTTATTCCTTCATATTCATCAATTACAATCCGTTTGCTGAAAATGGTAAAAACAAAACAAAGCAAACCATCAATCCTTTTGCGGCACTCTCAAGTAGCTATCTTATCTTCGACTACCCTCTTTTTCTTTTGAAACCAAATTTTAATCGACAAAACAACCTCATGCATTCTCTCATTTTTAATTTAATTGTCATGGTACATATTTTTAAGTATTTTTTAAGTTATATAAATAATAATTTTAAATTTTTTCATACATAATTTACTAAATAGTTTCATTTTGTATAAAAAAAAAACTTTAATTATTATTTATATAAAATATTGTTTAAAAATTCATACAATGACAACTAAATTGGATCTAAGGCAGCATATATCTCTAATGAACATACCAAGCTCATACTTCCAAGTGAGCAGATTTATTGGGCCCATAATTATTTGCAGCAGAAGAAATGCATTCAATGCATCAAGCGGACAAAGCAGGCAGGACAGCTATATCCCTCTGTAACTCTGTCATCTAGACCTTTGCGTGTTGGAATTCTGTCCCTAAAAAGTCACCTCTCCTTTCTCTCAATTATTGGCAACCACTATCCATGTGAAAATGGCTGTGCAGGGTTGGGTTGAGGGGGAAGGAAGCCACTCACTCAACGTATTAGGATTTAGGCAAATCTTTTCTCTTCTTTAACTTCTTGTGTTTTGCTCAAAGAGGAACGAAAGAAGTTACACTGTGTTTAGCCACCCTTCGGACTTTGGATTATAATGGCAGAACTTTTAAAACTGTCTCTTAAATAAAAGGTTATGAATAAATTTGTCTTTTAAATAAAATAATATGAATAAATTTATCTCTTCAAAAAATAAAAATCAATTATTTTTTAATTATTGATTAAAATATATTATTTATTGTTTAACATATAAGATTATTAACTATCAAAAATTTATTTATTATCTAAATATTTTTTAACAAAAAATTTACCTGCAATAATGTTATATATTAAATAATAAATTATTTATTTTGATTGATAATTTTAAAAAAATAATATATTCTTACAATTTCTTAAAAGCAAATCTATTTCTAACCTACCATTTAAGGGTGATTTGTCACTCTTGGAAGAAGAGATAGAAGCTTCGATTGTGAATGTTTTTTAGTGTTTTAATTTTTAATTTTTATATTTTTTATTATTTAAAAAATATATAACATATTAATTAAGATAAAAAAA